ACCGGGCAAAAGTCGTAACAAGGTAGCTGTAGGTAAACCTGCTGCTGGATCATTACTTTATGTGATGTTCAATTTTGAATCGCAATGAAATAATTGTTGTGTAACGGCTGTCGCTGGTGTCTAGGTGTTGCTGATACAGTTGTGAACGTCCGTGGCTGTATATGTGGTGACATGTTAGGACTATAATGAGTTTAAGACTTAATGAGCCTCTTAAGTGAGGACGCCAGCACTCTTTTTTTCTCTATATTTAAAAAAAAACAAAATTCCTAGCCTTTCCGGTGGATCACTAGGCTCGTGGATCGATGAAGAACGCAGCAAACTGCGATAAGTTTTGCGAACTGCAGCAGCCTTGAGCATAAAAGTTTTGAACGCATATTGCCGCATAGGGGTCAAACCCTTTGCTATGTCTGGTTCAGGGTCATTATCTTTCAAAGCGAAAGCTTTATTGTATAATTGCTTTTGTGGCTTCTTTATGTTTTAAATTGATTGTTAGATATGTTTAATTGTTCGCATGTATCATCAACAATATTGATTTTTTGACCTGAACTCAGTCGAGAGCACCCGCTGAACTTAAGCATATCAGTAAGCGGAGGAAAAGAAACTAAACAGGATTCCCCTAGTAACGGCGAGTGAATAGGGAAATGTCCATCGCTAAATCATTTTGCCTAAGGCATTATGAGGTGTAGCGTATAAGCCGTAATTTTTAATCTTTTGTCTCAAATAAGTCCCCTTGACAGGGGTTCCACAGAAGGTGCAAGTCCTGTACATTGAGATAATTGATCGATATTTACGTGCTTTAGAGTCGGGTTGTTTGGGATCGCAGCCCAAAGTCGGTGGTAAACTTCATCTAAGACTCAATATTGCCACGAGACCGATAGCAAACAAGTACTGTGAAGGAAAGTTGCAAAGCACTTTGAAGAGAGAGTTAAAGAGGACGTGAAACCGGAGAGGTGGAAACGGATAGAGTCGGCGTATCTTTCAAGTATTCATTTACATTATTTTTATGTTGTGATCTCTGAGCTCCAGATTGGGACAGAAAGAAGCATCATAATTTTCTGTGATGCATTTGCTTGTTTGGTGCTTGGGGATGTTTGAGGCAGATTTGTAACCGCCGTTTTGAGGCCAGCTTGCTGGTACCCAAACAGCGTTAGCATCTTTTGTCTTGGACATTTGAGTATGGTTTACGGGCATTTATTGGTTCGATCTGATTGTAAGTTACGGTCGCATGCGACACGTGCTTTTCATTTAGATCGGTCCAGTTAATGCTCTCGTACTCGCTCCCCATGTAAAAGCCGGTCATCTATCCGACCCGTCTTGAAACACGGACCAAGGAGTTTATCGTGTGCGCAAGTTTTTGGGTGTTAAAAACCTAAAAGCGAAATGAAAGTAAATGGCTCTTTAGAGTCTGACGTGCGATCTTGTAAAAAAGGGCAGCATGGCCCCATTCTAACTGTTTACAGTAGGGTGGAGGAAGAGCGTACGCGGTGAGACCCGAAAGATGGTGAACTATTCCTGAGCAGGACGAAGCCAGAGGAAACTCTGGTGGAAGTCCGAAGCGGTTCTGACGTGCAAATCGATCGTCTGACTTGGGTATAGGGGCGAAAGACTAATCGAACCATCTAGTAGCTGGTTCCCTCTGAAGTTTCCCCCAGGATAGCTGGAGCTCATTAGTAGTTATACTCGGTAAAGCGAATGATTAGAGGACTTGGGAACGAAATGTTCTTAACCTATTCTCAAACTCTAAATGGGTATGATGTCAAAGTTGCTTGATTTTGAACTTTGGCGTTGAATACGAGTTCCAAGTGGGCCATTTTTGGTAAGCAGAACTGGCGATGTGGGATGAACCAAACGCGGAGTTGAGGTGCCAAAGTGCCCGCTCATTAGACACCATAAAAGGTGTTGGTTGATACAGACAGCAGGACGGTGGCCATGGAAGTCGGAATCCGCTAAGGAGTGTGTAACAACTCACCTGCCGAATCAACTAGCCCTGAAAATGGATGGCGCTGGAGCGGGCCACCTATACTCTGCCGTCATATGCTTGTATTTTCCGTGAAAAGTCTTGCAATGACGTGTAAGAGGGTCGTAGTGGTTGCAATGAAGGCTTTGGGTGTGCACCCAGCTGGAGCTTCCACTAGTGCAGATCTTGGTGGTAGTAGCAAATATTCAAGTGAGATCCTTGAAGACTGAAGTGGAGAAGGGTTCCACGTGAACAGTAGTTGAATGTGGGTCAGTCGATCCTAAGGCACCGGCTAAAGCCGTCTAGACACTGCGGGGAGATGAGATACTTAACGGTATATTGTCTACTCGGTTGCCGAAAGGGAAGTGGGTTAATATTCCCACACCAGGCATGGGAGATGGTGATCCGCAAGGATTACTTTGCGCGGTGACGCAAACGAACTCGTAGACCTCGTGTGGAGTCCGGGCCAGAGTTCTCTTTTCTGGTTTAGAGATCATGTCCCTGGAAGTGGCTCAGCCTGAGATAGGGATGCTGGTCTCGTAAAGCGCAGCGGTTCCTGTTGTGTCCCGTGTGCTCCACATGAGCCGTGAAAATACGAGGGAGGCAATTTAAAATCTCCAGCCTGATCGTACCCATATCCGCAGCAGGTCTCCAAGGTGAACAGCCTCTAGTCGATAGAATAATGTA